CACTGATAAGCCACAAAAGCGTGTTTTTATGTAATTGGTCAAAAAATTTTCCGCCTAAGATATATCCCACAAAAAAAACCTTGAGAGGGTGCCATTCGGACGGCAATAAACCAGAGAACTTGACCGTCCCGATTTTACAGACAAACATATATGATATGAGAAATCCGAACGGCAATTAATTCTAGGGTTTGTCTCATGCTGGTAGGCCAGCCATTTTTCTAAAAAATAAATAAATAAAAACAGGAAAAAATAAAAAAATTGCCGTCATGCCGCAGAAAAGGAGCAACTTCTGCAATTTTATCAACTATAAGTGAATATTTTGACTTCTGCTAAATCAAAAGCAGATTTCAATAGGTACCCATCATAGAAATGGTACCCAATGCTAAAGTGATTTATCAAACATGTCTGCGGCATGACGGCAATTTTTTTATTTTTTCCTGTTTTTTATTTTTTCCTGTTTTTTATTTTTTCCTTTTTTTATTTATTTATTTTTTAGAAAAATGACTGTCCTACCAGCATGAGACAAACCCTAGAATTAATTGCCGTCCCGATTTCTCATATCATATATGTTTGTCTGTAAAATCAAGTCAATGTTATCAATGTCAAGTTCTTTGGTTCATTGCCGTCGGAGTGGCACCCTCCCAAGGGTTTTTTTGTGGGATATCACTTCATTTTACGTCAGATATTTTACTTAAATCTACCAGAAAAGTATAACCAATGTTTTCGGAGAATAATAGAGGCATCCACGATCTCACAGTGTAGATAACTTAAATAAACCATCACAAAGCCTTCCCTGAACTCCTGTAAGTGGCTTCAGTTGGACACGTCAATTATTGCTACTTTGTGCGACGCAGGATTGCGTGCAGTCAAATTGAAGGCGTTTTCTCTCTCTTTTTTTCTGTTTGCTTTTGTGTTTATATTTCTAACTGGTCCCACTTTAAAATCACGGGTGACAGACATTTCTCATTGAGGAATATTAATTTATTGAAATTAAAATCTCACACAAAAAATTTTATGACAGATTCAGTCTAAATTACACAATCACTTATAAACCTACGTAATTTTGTGACCACTTTTTAGGACCTTCCTAAAGTCTCTTGTAACAGTTATAACAACCAACATAAGTCATGTTGACTGCGAGAAAAAATGTTTCAAATATTTATTAGTTGTATTAATTTTTAAAAAATAATGAAAAAGGGTGAATACTACAGACAAAGGAGCTTGTCTGCAGTGAAGTAGTCATTTTGAGTAATACTCATCTGAAGGCGTACTAACAATGAAGTAATTAAATGCAAATGCTCAACTGTGGTCTTAAATTTAAAGTTTATTTGAGCCAAAAGTTTGAAAGAATTCTTTCGAAATAATTACGCTTCCCTCAAAATATAAAAGCAACACTTGACTCCTTCATCTATGATATCTTTCAAATACATAATCCATTTATCCCACATGGAATCAGGGAAATAGAAGGAGCTTTTACACGGTGACTTTTTAGGAAAAAGGCACTAAGGTCAGCTAATGGAATGCAAAGGAGCTTAGAAAATTGATGTTTTCAATCAGCCTTTAAGAGTTATTGACTCGTATAGGTAGCTATTCGGAAACAACTTTTTGTCAAAGTCTTGATTCTCTTCAAAGAAAATGAGATATGATGATCTGTATGAAATTGATCTACAAGAATCGTAGTTGCATTCTAATTTGAGGCATTTTCTTCGATTAGAGAAGTTTAATTTTTTTGACTTTAGCCTTTTGAGAGCCTGGTTTAAAGTTGATTTTTATAAAATCTTCATCCAACTACCAACATAAATCAATGTTCGTCTTCTTTTGAATGGAACACGGAGACTGGAGTAATATTGAGAATCCCTTTCTCTCAATATTCACCCGATGATTTTATCATTGATCCGCTGTTGATGAGTTTGTAAAGAGAATAAAGATTTTCAGCAGAATTATTATTGCTAATTTACAATTTTCCCTTAAAGAGGCCTGAAAAGCTCTCTTGGGTGACATCAAAGAAAGCTTGCTAGATACTTAAAAAAATTTCTTGGAGGTAAGTTTCCTGTTCTTTTAAATGCAAGACAATTATGCAAAACTATTAAAGAATGAGTTGATGATAACATTTTAATTCTTGCAATGAATCAATAAAGTGAAAACACAGAATTTTCTATTTTATAGACAGTTTAATAATCATTTTATATATTTGATTTATGGATGCATTTAGAAATCCATGTAAGATTTGACTAAGATAACTGTGCATGAGTAACACTGGAATATAAAAAGTAAACAGAGTGAAGAAAAAAAAGAAAGGGCTAGTTAAACAGAAACATTTTTATATAAGACTAGCAGGAAACCCGTGCTACGCACAGGAAAACCCCACCATCAGCAATCACTGTGATTAGTGATCAGTTACTAATTGTGTTTCTGAATTATTATCTACTATTTCAAAATTGGCGAGACGCACTGGTTTGATTAAAAAGTAGAGATTAGTAGTATGCTGCTATTTTGGTCCGTTCTGCACTAAGCTCACATGATAATTATAATAAAAAAAATACCCAATCAAAAGTTGGTTATTTTCATGAAGATTTGTTACTTTTGTCAGTTCAATGTTCAATTGAAGTTAGCTGATGAGTTTCAGCCGCGAAAATTACGGGATTTAGCCAGCGGTTTCGTTTAATTCACAGCAATGGCGGGTTTGTCATCTACATCGCGGAGAAAACTTGATTTTTCCAGGGATTTTGTAAAACAAATTAGAAATTACACGACAATCACCACGGTATCACGGCAAATACGTCGTGTTCCTAGCGAATTTTTAAGATCATTACAATTGCGCGTTATTCACATCAATATCGTGGCATACACGCGAATTTCTGACTCAATTAAGACTACGTAAATGTGCGCATAAAACTCATAAACATCTGTTACTTGAGATGGGCGAAAACGTATGATTTTCCTTCAATTTTGTATGATACCACATACCCACTCCGGAGTTCAAATAGTTGCTCGCTTCAATTCTGCTTGTTAAAAGTGACGAATTGGAAGAATCCAATCTAAATTTCACGAGAACTATGGGATGTAACCATCGGTTTCCCTATATAAGATTTAATGTTTTGAAATTTAAAAAAAAAAA